TAAACGCTGAGAGGCGGTTCCAAGGGGGAGTCTACTGGGTCTGAAAGCTTGGGGAAAGTCAGTGACCGAATGTTACAAGGGCGGTCGGCATCAATCTGTGCACGGGGGGTCCCCACAACCCCACCCCGGTCTAAGTCCAGCAGTCCAACCAGTCCATTGGGTTTATGGAAGATTCCTGATTTGGCCTGAAGAGGTGGCGTATTACTGGGAGAAGTGGGGCGATGTTCTGCTGGAGGAAGCGGAGGAGGTGAAACGGACGACTGCGGTTGGCTCTGCAGGATATTCCGCAACTCCTCTTTGTCGTCCAGTGTTTTAAGCTCAAGTTTGTCAAAAGGGTCCTCCTCTCGCTCAAAGTCAGCTAAGTTCAGACTCTGCGGAGCCGGGTTGCTTGGTGCTGGTCTCGTCGGTCCAAAAGATGGGGCTGGGAGAGGCATAAGGATTGCGTTGTGCCATAGGCCAGCTAAAACTGGGTTCAATACTGGTGGGACAACGTCCTGCTCATCAGAGGGGCGCGCTTTCTTCCCTCCAACCAATCCAACATCTGCATCCTGACCATCAGCCTGCCTTTCGTTTTCAGAGTCCGTCCGGGCGGCTTCCACAGCCCGAGACTCAGCGGCTCGCGCTTTGGCGAGTTCTTCCCCCCACTGAACGCTTCGCCTCTCTAGACTAAAGTCATACTAAAGAGTAAAGCAAAGCATTAATTATTTCTGACAAAAATACTTGTATATGGGAAAGTTGAAGTAAAATATGACTTACTTGCAGATCCGAAAGAACGGTATTACAATCAGACAAACAGAAGCCAATGGGAAGACCCACTTTTGAAGGACAGCGGAATTTGTCATTGAGCTTGAAGGGAACATCATCAAGGTAGCTGACGGGTCCTTGAAACATCAAGTGAAGTAACAGAAGAATAAGAAAAACAAATTATTTTAAAATTAGTCATTTATTTATGCTGTATTTTTATCTTCTTGTCTATTAAAAAACAACAAAACAAACAGGACAGATGATTGGCTGACTCACCGTTGTTGTGGATATCTGATCCAGACTTCCTCGCAGCCATTGAGAGTAACTAAAAAATAGACAAATAACAAAAATTCACACAAACTGCATTCAGTTTCTTATTTTTCCTCCCCTGTACTTTGCTTGTTCTCAAATTTTTGAAAATAAGTTACAATAAATACATCCAATACTTCATAACATGCAAGGTTTTGGATATCTTTGACTTTATAATCAGTCAAAATTGGCAGAGAAATATAAGAAAGACAGAATTGTATTGTTTAAAGGAACAACAGAATTGGTTGCTTGTCCTTATGCCAACACAATACTAAAAAGATTTGCGAGACTATTGAAATATGTTATTTAAAATTACATTTGATTAGCTATTCTTGTGCAGTAATCTAACTATTGATTTTAAATACAAAGAATTACGCAAAGCAAACTGAATCTATGTATGTCATAACCAAAGGACACCTTTACAGATATGACCAATAATTTGTTTGACCTATATATAATCTACCAGTATATTTTTGAAACTCACTTTCCAAGTCTGTATGTATTTTATTAAAAATAATACAGTAATATTTATTCCAATTTAAAATAAAACTAAAATTATTCCAATTTAAAATAATAATAAATGTATTCAAATTTAAAATAAATTTTATTATTATTTTCACATTTAAAATAATATTAAAATTATGCAATATTATATATATTAAATGCAATATTATAAATATCTTCACTGTCAGTTTTAAAAGATATAACACTGCTTCACAAGTAATATATTAAGAATATTGTTTGCATTAATTGTTTAAAATGAACAGCATTTTAAGCTTACAGTTAGACATGCCCCTAACAAATCTGAAAAAAATAAAAAATAAATAATAATAATAATAATAATAATATGTTTCCGTTGTTTGTGTAATGATTGTCAAAAATATATGAAATAAAATTGTATGTATATTGATTATCTGATATATTCAAACATTGTTGAGAAAAAATATTGCCACTTGAACACTTAGAAAACACAACATAGTCCAAGAGCATTAAATTACAAGCATTTCTTGGACTACACTTAAAGTGTAACTGTAAACAGATAAGCTTCTTCATTTACAGGAAGTTTGCAACCTAAAACATATCAATAAACTAAGCACACTAAAATAAGTACTAACACAAAACTATATCACACGCTGACAAACATGACGATAAAACCGATTTTGAGGTCATTTCACCACCCATGACCTCTTACATAAAAAGCATAACAGCTGATCAGAAGAAAAAAAAATCATAACCAGTCTGGTAACTACAGATTTGTTGCGTAATAATAAAAACAACAAGAAATTCATACAGACAGCAAGCTAGATGAGTCCAACACCAGTTCAATTTCAACAATAAATCTTTAGATATACTGATGATGAGACAAGTTGTTTTATGCTGAAGCTGGATGATGACACACATTTCTCCCTGGCTCCTTACCAAGCTAACGTTACTACGATTTTCTCCTTTTCTGTCCGTCATATCAACCAAATAACGAAAAAACGTATGACCTAAAACCAAAGATCTGATACTTAAGAACTAGAGAAGCACGGAAACGAATGTGGACGTTTTGTTAAAAACAACTGTCTAGCTGTGTTTCAGTTCAGGTTAGTGAAGCGACCTAACAGGGCCCAACTTCCTCTGCCACCGCCCCTCAAACTGCCCCTCCGTGTCCCACCGGGGTCCTTACCAGTATCTGCTCTGTCTTCGGTCTCCGAAAAGGTGTCTCACTTGTCCTTGGACATACAAGCTCCGGTCAACGTTCTCAGATGAGGAGATTTACTGAAAACCGAGTATATTTCCTGCTTCATCGCGGAACGCCATCTTGGTTTGACCGCCTCCTTTGGTTCCTGTGTGACGACATGCGTTGCCACTGAATGACGACAGGTTCGACCAATCAGCGAAGAGCTGGGGAGGAGACGTCATCTGTGTCGGCCTTTGCACATGGTTTCAGCACGGGTTTGAGTCCATCAACCTGGAAAAGGAACGTTTTGATGTATTTTAGTTAGTTGAATATTGTTTATTAGATCTATCCATCCTTCGTTCCTTCGTTCCATCCATTAGACTACACGTTAAAAAAAATTCTTATATAAAAAAATGAAAAGACATTATGCAAAGTAGCTGATTTTGGCATAAAAAGGATATACGGTTATACAGGCCAACATTTACATTTACATTTGGTCATTTAGCAGACGCTTTTATCCAAAGCGACTTACAAATGAGGACAATGGAAGCAATCAAAATCAATAAGAGAGCAATGAATAGTAGGGCTTTTCCTGCTTACGTTTCCATTTTAATCGTTTTATTATTATTATTATTATTATGCATTTTAATTAGTGTTTACTTATCTTTATTTAGCCTATATTTCTTTTTTATTCTTACTCTGTTTTTTACTCTTACTCGGTTGATATTTTTATTTTATATATTGTAAATTACGTTTTGCTTACTAAAATATTCTCATATATATCCCATATTTATATAATTGTAATATAATATTTTTTTTATGTATGTAATGGGTACTACCTATGTAATACATATGTTGTGTAGTGACAAGTATTTACAGTTGAGTGTCCTGCGTCATGACGCACTCGCGTACAGACGTGTACAGGCACGCACTGTGATAACCGGAAGCATCAATAGAAGCGATTGAGAAACGAAAAATATTATCACCTGTCGATTGCGTTCATATATCTCTTCTGCGCTCCCATTAATTTCCATATCCCACTTCCATAACACCCATACCCTTTCGTTAATTCGCTGTCGACTCGGTCTGGACGGATACAGCAGAGCTGGCAGTGTAATTCTTTGCGCAAACGGGGGTTTTGGAGGTGCGTTATAGCCTTGCAACAGAACAAATGTAAACAAGCAGCTGATCAGCTGTGCGGCCGAAGACGCGCAACGAAACGGCGTGATGACAGCGACCCGCAGGGTTTGACAAACATATTCTGCATCATATAAAGCCAAATTAGAGATGTATTTGCATGTTGTAGAGTTTTTGTAGACGTTAGAGCACTACACGAGGACAACTCCCAACCAGCGGCAGATACAAAACAAACGGCTTATTTTTTTATTATTAATATGTTTTTTTACTGATTAGAAGAGTAATGGATAGATTTATTTGTCTTAATATCTGCTTGAAGATTGGATAACTTCAAGTCTAACAGGAAAAGCAACAGGATTCGAGAAATAACAAGGGAAGAATAAGGTTAACAGTCCCTTCTGGGCCCCACGGAATAAATAAATATCAGAAACGTATTAATATTTACATGAAGCTGGAAGTTTAGGGCACCCAAACATCACTTTTCCTGGGGAGCAGCACAGGTAACAAACAGTGTATAAACATGTTTTTATTTATCAAAATGTTGTTGCGTAGCTTTGGCATACGAAGCTAAACATACATTTGCACAGACTTTTTCCCCCTTTTTTTTCCATTTTGTTCAATTTCCTTTCCATTTGCAATTTACCTCTCAACAGCCAAATAACATAACTAATCTACTAATCTGTGCGTA